TATAATGTAGGAGAGACTAAGGCATTTTGCACAGTTTTCACATTTTTGACATTAGATTTTTTAAACTACTAATTATTATGATAAAAATACATTAATATGATAGAGATTCTACGTAAAACAATAGAATCCGGTAATTTCAATGGCCAAGCAAAATGAACAATTTATATATGAATAATCATTTCGTATTGAACCCATATTATTCATAGAAAATGTTCTATTTCAATCTACATAAGAAAATAGTTTTTCATTTTATACAGTAACAAATCATCATGTAACATCTCTCTTGCATATGTAATATATGCATATAATTTAATTTAATTTTAAATTAAATATACATATACTAATATACTAATTTATTCTATAGCATGCCCATTGGGATTTTGGGGTCTACAATGTACAAAAATGTGCGATTGCGGTGAGAGTATCTGCGATTCTGTAAACGGCACTTGTCAATGTTCTCCAGGATGGCAAGGACCTCGGTGAGTGTTGAAAAATATCAATGATCATGAGTGTTCCAAAAATACCAATGTTTACCGAACAACAATAAGTAGCTCGAGGATGTGTTCTTTTAGCGTATTAAATCAAGTGATACTATAAAAATGATGTTCTTCCTTTTGCAGATGCGAGGAGCATTGCGCAATCGGCCAATGGGGGCCAAGTTGTGCAAACAAATGCACATGTCAAAACTGGGATAATGGCTGCGATGCCGTAACCGGAAGCTGCGTTGACGACGATGTCTCTTCGATCGAGCAAACGTCGCCCGCTTATTTGCAGAGCTCTACTACCGACCGTCTACCGCAAACATCAGGAATTAGTAATACGGAGCATACGGAGATTGTCTCTGTGCCACGTGAGACCACCGAACGCCAGACGGAAGGTAAATATGAAGAAAAGTTTTCTTCAGTCTAAGAAAATTTTTAGACTTTAAAGTTGTGCAACTATCTTTCGGAAGATGAAGAAATGGATTTTCATTTTCAAATATTGGAGACGCCTCGAAAAGCAAATTCAAGCAAAAATAGCCGATTAAAATTAGGAAAAACAAGTTTCTCGTACATTTTCATATGAAAAATATAAATATAATCGATCACATTAAAGTGGGTTAGCTTATCGAACTTTAAGCTTAATTTCGATTTTTGAGTTGAACTTCTCCACAGAAGCCGATGCTATGAAGTCGACGATTTTTTGAAGAAGTTCGAAGAAGTTTAGCTCGATGATCTGAACTTTTACATCGACAATATGATGCAGTTGTTTTTCACGGCAATAATAGATCACTTTAGTCAAGCATAATTATAATTATTAAATATAATAATATTTGTAATATTTAGTTTCAATCGCAGGTATCAATAACAGTTGGAATGACACCAATTACATTCCGGAAACTACGAGTCCGGCAACAGCTTCAATCATGGCCCCTCCTCAGGGGGTAAAAGTTTCGGTAAACGAAATGCAAATAAAGAATCCTTCCACCACTGCTCATCCTGTGATCGTTTTAGTCTCTGTTCCTGAACGTAGAAGGGACATTGAAAAGGATAGGCAAAAGTTCGCGACGAAGGACGCTCTTCTCAGACACGTCCAAAGTGACAAAAGTATCAGCGTGCCAAATGTCGATTATGTAAAAACTATTCATAAAGGTACTATCTTGAGATACTTCAAAAATGCATACTAAAATTTTCGTCTTGTTTTTATACTGCAATGCTCGGCTATTCGATCTCTAATAAAATATTTCTATTGCAAAACAGACGATATTCAGACAACAACGCCGATCTCGTTAGACATCGCTCTAATCGTCATCGCCGCGATTGTCTCCCTCGGTCTTACCTCACTCGCGGTGGTTATGGTCCTTCACATGCGTTCCAAATTATTCGAGACCATTCGTCTTGCTGTCTATGATGACGAGAAGACCAAAAGCCCAGAACGCGAGAGCGTGAACAACGGAAGGATGTCGGTAGTAAACGCCACTCTACCTCGTGAGTTATACGTTCACCTGACAACAACATTCTCTCCTAGATTGCCAGTGAAATCCACGTGTCCTTGACCCCGATAAGTCTGGTCACGTAATCGTTTTAAGGATAGTCTTGACCGCCATAGCCAGTGAAAAAGTTATCTCACCGATCGTGCGATGTTGAATCTTTTCTGCTCATTACTAATCTGCCATCAGCACAAGATAATTGTGTATTATATTCTCCGATACTTTTATGATTTCAGCACCCCCGATTTGTGCAAATCCGGTATTCGCTATTAATGCAGAACCGGATACGATACTGACGCTTGATAGCATTGAATCGCTGAATACTTACGCCAACGGCGCCGCTACGATCGGTCTTCGAATTTCTGGTAATTTTCGCGGTAAGTTTCCATTCTTTTAATAAATTTGACGCATATATGAGACACACTAGTTGTAATAATTATAAAGGAAATTAATCTCCATTAATTTTAAAAAAATCTACAAATAATGGCTAGCAGCATTAAAAACAATTTATATATATAACGTAAACGGTTTTATTTTGCATTTAATTAACAGTTTCAAAATTCAAAAGTTGCGGTTCTTCAATCACATTTGTTACTTTGAATAAATCATAAACACTTTCTTACCGATACTATTTTTAAGATGCTTAACAGATTCTTTTATTGCGAATCTCTCAGATCTGTTACAAGACAGTCATTACGACCGACCATCAGCAACTCTGATACGTCTGCAGGCAAATTTGGACCATAACACGGAGCACTTGTACGACGAAATACCCATGCAGACCACTCCTTCGGATCGCAAGGATTTGTGATGGAGAATTGCATTTCCACTTACTGCGTTCATAGTGTCCAGTCTATATCCGTATCTTTAATTATATAGTTCAATAATGCGTCATAATAAAAGGACCTTGAAACGTTTTTAGGCGACCTGTCAACGATCGATGAAAAGTCGATCGAAAAATGCGCTAAAACTGGTTTCTGACCTTATGCAGAACTGATAAATGTGCAAGGTTGAACGTGACTGCAATTGAGTGGCACAAGGCGGAGGAACAAGTCGTTCGAATACCATACTGTCAGTGACCGACAGTAGAATTTAATTAACGGAGCAACAGCTGCTTTTGAATAAACTATTTTGTAATGTCGACAGAATGACGTCAAACTGGAGGCAAATGCGCTCGATTACGATTGCGTACAAATGCGCAATTGGAAAACACGGAATAATAGAGTCCGAAGGGAAAATAGCGCGCGCCGACTGTTATTATCTAAATAATATTAAACATTTATGCAGCCTGCGGGGCGGAGTTATCTGTTTGCAAATAAATAGATGCGAAAATAAACTGCCCGGTATAAATAAATCTGACAGCGTCGTTAGTGTTGACGTAATTTACGGTATAAATTACCGTTGTGCAAATAAATTTATTGTTTATTTATTCCAGTTAACATTATAAGCGATCTTTTCATATTTATTTATTGTTGCTGACAGAACAGCGCCTATAATAATAATGTTATATTATTATAAATTATATTAAATAATCAGTCCCGTGGTAATCACATCCTGCAAAGAAATAGAATTGTTTTTCCGAGCGTATAAAAACATATCCTGCGATAATATAAGTTTCCAAGTATATCATTAATGATATGTACGTAAATGATAATATAATCAACAAAATTTGTTATCGTAAGAGGAAATACACTTAATGAGTTTCGTGCACCGAAATTGAAACCAAAGAATAAAAATCCTATTTAAAGCAAACAATATGTGCATCCTAGAAAAATATAACCTTAGCACTACTTATTTTATTTGTAAACAATTTTAAATAATTATCTATAATAAACTAAATTAAATTAATTGTGTAAGTATAATTGCATAAATCTTTCTTTGCCATTATTTTCGTATTAGTATCTTTTGAGAAGTCACTTTATTATAATTTTATTAGCAGCGATATTTTTGTAAACTAAGAATCATTGAGAAAAATAATAAACTATGTTATTATCTTCGATACTTTTCTATAGGAGGTATTTTCTATAGGAGGAAAGAGAAATTTTCCGTTTCTATGTCATGCGATAATTTAATGTATCTCTTCGTTTTGCACTAATTTTTTTTCTATCTTATATTGATCGTTTCAAGGAAATGTTATTTGCAGTCAGCATTAGCTTATCGTAATTGAATAAATAAATATCATGCATTTTTTTTTTATCGCATTTAACATATTCTGGAGTGCCCGTCTTATTATCGTCCCGATTAGCTCATGTATCCCGAATGATATCAGTCGGATTACATAAACAACGTTGAATGCGCGCAGCAAGAGTTATAATAAACTGCTCACACACAAAAGACATACTATACGGTTTGAAGCAATACTTACATCACAAGTCAAAATAATTTTATCATTATTTTGACAATTTAAAAAGCATTTTTCTCTCAGTTAAAATGTTATATTCATCTCATAAATCCTTCCATATAATCTTCTCTTGTCAGATAATATCGTTTAGATAAAACAAATGAATAAATATATTCCTTAATTAATCTAGCTCACACATATTATTCTCCTACGTTTTATATGATAATTTTCAACGTGCATAATTTAAAGATATTTTAAAAAGATTTTCATTTCGCTATTTAATCTTATATTAGGAAAATCCTATAAAAAGGAAATCTTGCAAATTTTTATGATCGTTTCATGCGAAGAGTGTCTTTTTATAATATAATTAAACTAAGACTTAATTGCAATACATTATCTTATCCCTTCGTTTTGCGCACACGTGATCAATTTTATTCACTCGATTAAAGCCATGCCTAATGAGTCAATTATGGCCTAGTTAATAGCGATGACCTAATCAATAATTAGATAAGAGCAAAAGTGTATGGAAAGAAACGGACACACGAACGCTTTGGCCCCATTTGGTCTCTCTAACATATCGATACGCATAATCGATAACCGTTTCCGTGAACAGGGAATGTTGCGTAGTTTAATGAGAAATTTAACGAGAAGATGAATACCGCTGACCCTTGCAACATCCTTATCGCGGAGATGCCCACTCTCTGACCGAAAATAAGTTCAGTAGTAAATTCGCGATCGTTCATGCAACATGCAAAGATTACCAATTTGCTTGATTGTCTTTACGTGCCTTGGTGTTGGCACCTGGGCAATTGAGGGTGTCAAAGGTGGACATCGGCCGCGTTATCCTACAAGCGGGAGTTACAGTAGCACCAACTCTTCGCAACATGGCCTTTGCCATAAAAGAGTGCCGTGAGTAATCAATTTTTCAATTCGAGACAAACGTAATTCTGACAATGCGAACACTATTTTTTGCTTGCAATATTTAAAAAAAAATAGCTTAAAGATAACAGTATTCGCGCCTTTCAGATACAGCCATGTTTTAGCTTTAAACGCCAGTGGATCGCTTTACAATACTATCCCTCAATCACCTGAAGGTGGCCATCCTGTAAGTTATCGTCTCTCTGAACTAAAGACAAGATTATGAAAAGATTCTTGAATTGATTTTTGATAAATATAATGAAGATATCTTAGAAAAAATTTCAGAATGCGATATTTTCTGTGCATTGATTAGAAATCTCTCTAATTAAAAAGACTCGATGTAAACAATTTAAATAGACAATATTATATTTTATAGAAATCAATGCCTTAAACGGTCTAGCTGGATCTTAAGGGCTTATATGATTCTGTGTGAATTTATATACTACACATATAAATCTTTGAAAATACTCACCGAAATGAATCTTGAGAAATGCAAACTCTAATAAACTACCGCAATAATATCACGAGTTAAATTGACTAGCAATTTAACAATTTGATTTTTTTCGCATCTTAGAATGATCTTAATAATGCTGAGTGACATATTAAAATCTGTAAATAATTAATTCTTATTACGAAAAATATTATCTCGGTCGGGAGTTGAACCCGAATCTCTTGCATTCCGTGCGAGAATCCTAAGCCTTTAGTCTACCGAGGCACGGAATGCAAGAGATTGGGGTTTGACTCCCAACTGAGGCAATATTTTTCGCAATAAGAATTAATTATTTACACTCAGCATTATTAAGACCTTTCTAAGATGTGAAAAAGCATCAAATTGTTAAATTGCTAATCAATTTAATTTGTGATATTACTGCGGTAGAGTTTGCATTTCAAGATTAAAAAATCATTTCGGCGCGCATATTTTAAAGGACTACATACATAGTACATAAATTCACCCAGACTCATATAAGCACTTAAGATCCAATTAGATCGTTTAAGTCATTGATTCCTATAGGTTTAATTTAAATACAAGGAAAAAAAATTAATTAAGTGGTACAGCAAATCTATGACTTACTGCGCGAATTCAATGTCTGTAACTAGGAAGATTTGATGGTTTAACAAATCGCTAATGTTATTCAGCTGTCAATTTGACTGTCTGTATATTACAACTATAGATTTGCTGAATTAGTGAAGTTTTCAGCTTTTTTTTTCGTGTAGCTTCGAGCACGAGAATTATAAGATACATTCTGTTCGTCAGCCTGACGGTTGGATCACTATCTTGGACTGTTGTGACGGCTACGTGCGCAATGTGACGAGCGGCCTATGCGAACCGCAATGCGAACGCGGTTGTTTTGGCGGCCGCTGCACAGCCCCGAACGTCTGCAGCTGCCCGTCGGGATGGCGTTCCGAGGATGGCGTTTGCATGCCCGTTTGCTCCTACCGATGCCAGGAGAATGCTTATTGCTTCTCGCCCGAGGTGTGCGTATGCAAACTGGGCTACGACGAGATCGACGGTCAATGCAAACCGATCTGTCCTAACGGATGCAAGCAAGGCGAATGCGTGGCGCCGCGCGTCTGCAGTTGCAGACAAGGATACGTTCTGAATGAACGCAAGGAGTGTGTGGCTGCGTGCGAAGGCGGTTGCGTGCATGGCGTATGCAGCGCACCAGGCGTATGCACCTGCGATGAAGGGTAATTAAATGCCGTTATCTCAAATCTCTCCGATCTTCGCCAACTGCGCAATGTCTTTCGCATCGACATTCCGCGCGATAATTAAACTCTGATTTACGCACGTAGTACGTTACGTAATAAGTAATCTATTCATACAAAGTGGATTGTAATAATTGCGATATAAATAATTGATAAATCAATGAATATGAACTCGTCAAAAATATTATACTTTAAAAGCAATTATACATTGTGCGTGTAATCGCTATTATACAGGTATATATAAATCAATCGTTTTGTAATTTTCGCGTGACCACATCTACGTAGATAATGTTATTTACATTGCCGCTTGAAGTGCAATCACGTGTTATGATAATAATAAGTTTGCAAATTACTAGTTTTGTAGAATGAGTATCGAGTTGATCTTATGTATCCAAGTCAAGAGAAAATCAATAACTTTATTTTGACGTTATGAAATTATAAGAATAAAAACAATTATTTTTTGTTGTAAATATATTGACATTGAGAATTAAATTAAAATTATTTTGATTTTCTGTTGACTTTTATGTGTCTCTTGGTGAGACATTTTACAGATGCTGTCCTTCAATAATAAATTCTTTAGCAATTCAGAATTTTAACTCTCTAATAAATTTCTGACACTTTCCTTTGTTGACTGATCAATAAAGCATATAAATATATAAATAATATCATAATACAGCTATAAACTGTTTTACAGATACACCAACTTGTTCGGCGATACCGAGTCCTGCACTCCCCATTGCCCGACCGGTTGTCCTAACGGCGAATGCGTCGCACCAAACCTTTGCTTATGCAGGGTCGGTTTCACGCGCAATCAAGCCGGCGCTTGCATACCTGTCTGCCCGGGTGGTTGTGAGGGAGGCGAGTGCATTGCACCCAACTTTTGCAGCTGCAGACCTGGATACACGCAGGACCGTCACAGTGGCAAATGCGTCTCGAGTACTACAGGTTCAGCGCAGTGCGGATACGGATACACCGTCGATCCTGATACCCGTAGATGCATCCCCGTAACGACAACCCCAACATCACAGCCCATTGGCGATTGCAGGTACGGCTGCGGTCCGCATAGCACGTGCGTGGGATATCGGTGCACCTGCGAACCTGGATTCACTGTCGACCCCGATACTGGCAGATGCATCTCCGCAACGACATCCACGACTAATTCGACGCAATGCCGATACGGTTGCGGGCCAAACGGCCGATGTGTTGGTTCAAACTTGTGCGTCTGCGATCCGGGATTCCGCGTTGATCCCGATACCGGAAGATGCATTCCACACGTGAGCACGAGCGCGGACATGTGCCAATACCCGTGCCTAAACGGTCGATGCACTGGACCGGATCAATGCACCTGCAACCATGGATACACGCATGACGAATACGATAGTACGCGTTCAAGATGCGTGCCGATGTGCGCGGGTGGATGTCCGAACGGTGTATGCACCCTGCCAAACTTTTGCATATGCAATCCCGGATACCGAAAGGAAGGTGTCAAGGGTCGGCAGAGATGTATCCCAGAGTAAATGAGTTGACTGCATACAAAACATATATTGTTAGATATTTCCAAATCAATAATTATGATCAACTGAATTTATATAAATAAACTGATAATATAAATTATAAATAATTTTTTATATGCCTTTCATTTCATGCAATATGTCTAAATTTATAATCATGATAACTTCAAAAAATAATAATACAAAAATAAAATATTTTCACACATTTAAAAGTTTCTAGGTTGTAATAACTATTTTGATAATTGTACGCATTCTTGAATAATGTTGTGGCCTAATCAATGCGGATACAATTTTCTCAAGGTAAACAAGTATTAAATATGTAAAACTTCAATGGCAAATGAATACGTTAATTATATAACAAATCACAAAATTAATTATAAAGTCAGGCATAAAAATAGAAGCTCTCTATAAATCTTATATCCTCATAAAAGAATATGTAAAAATGACATTATGACTAACCACAAATGCTATCGCGTGCAGTATGTTTTACACGCCAACTAATGTTATTACATTATAAATGGGTTAATGCGGATTGCATCCTTGGCCCAATACGTCAACTTCACGTAAGTTTTGCTCAAGAAAATGTATGTTCCCGTTTATGCACTGTTAAACATGCGGAATCGATTCGTTTACGCCATGAAACAATTATGCAGTTTCTCTCCAGAGCTATGCATATTTCTTAAAAGCGATTCACGAGATATTCCGCAACGTATGCGTTATGTATTTATATATTTAATATATCTTTATTATTTTCACAATGAGAGATGCAAAGTACTTTGTACCCAGCATGATTCACAGCTTATGAACAGAAACCGATAATGTAGCATTTTATTCAGAATTTTCATCAACTTGTCTTAAATAGAATTTCGATTCCTTTTATTCGCACGCAATCTCTTTTGTACGTACAAATAAATTAATAATTGCAAAGCCAGATGTTGTAAAAATTTTTTGCAATTTATGTGAAATAGAACTATTAAAATTAAAGAAGCTCATTTTGCTGATAAGTAGAGATTCATACGGATTTAATTGTAACTGTCTGACAACAGCTAACATCCTGTCGGATTCTGATAGCACGCTACTCTCATAGCTCAAAGAGGAGAAGAAGCTTCAGTATAAGTTGCGACGCAATATACTTTGCAACACGCTTTATCCACACACTGATCTATCGTTCGCATTTGAATCTCCCTTCAAATGTATATGTTTAAATATATTCGGCAATTATGAAACTTTTGTACGTCGTATTTATTCTTGCTTTTCTACAAGACGAATTGGTTACTAAAGTAGAATCGCGTACTGTAACGTTATCAAGTGATTATTCTACGGGAAATTGTAGTAAAATCATTAGGTAAGATTTGCTATATTTTACGATTAAAAATGCTTATCGATACTATCGAAATGTATAATCGGCGCACAAGTGAGCTAATAATGCTAAAATTATGCGCTGTTTGCAGTTTTATGGAAACATCTGAAGTTCCATATTTGGAAACGTATAAGGAAAAAACGTGGGGTATTTTTTATAAAACCCGCGTTCGATGGAATTATAAAATTGAGGTAAGATTTAAGCATAGGATTTCTATTCAAAATAATATTCTCGTTAAAATGATAGAATCAAAATTCAAAATGTGTTAATAAATACATTTAGCGCACATAATAACATTTATATTTATCGGAAAATAAAATAATTATTCCGTGATATAAGAATTTTTTAACTGAATGATTAAAAAAGGAACGAATAAAACTATAGAAAGATAAAAGTAATATTAAACTTATAGATACAGCTAACAATATATAACTCATAACTTTTATAGAAATAATATATCTGCAATAAAATTTACAGCTTATTTTGTAACATTAAAATTTAATATTAAAATTTTAAAACTTTGATTAAATTTTTGTTGAAAAAATATTATTTCTCAATTTTCAATAAGTATCACTCTGCTAATCAAATTACCTTTTATCAAACATATTCTGTGTGTGTGTGCGTGCGTGCGTGCGTGCGTGCGTGCGCGTGTGTGTGTGTGTATCTGTACAATTCTCTAAAGATAGCATTTTTGTTGATTAGCACTCTACATACTTTTATGCATACAAATAAATATTATTATACATATAAGTATGCAAAAACTCGTTTCTATTGTTAGTCTCGAAGATCATGGCGCATAGAATACGACTGTTGTGACGGATTTGAACGTAAATTCTTTTGGGACGCTTCGAGTTCAAAAATGCATGCAAAATGTGAACCATTTTGTCGGCCTTCTTGCGGAAATGGTACATGCACGAAGCCAAACTTGTGCCTCTGCAATTATGGATACATTTTTACATACTCTGAAACTCCAAAGTCTGACGTTGGCTGTGTTCCTGTATGTACTCCCCCTTGTGTACATGGCAAATGTGTCTTACCCGACACTTGCATGTGCGATTCTGGATACAAATCGACAAACGATTATTACATCTGCGAACCCATTTGCAATGTACCCTGTCCTACAGGATCATATTGCTATAAACCCGACCAATGTTTCTGTCTGGACGGATATAAAAACATTTCCAGTGGCGTCAAATTAACTAATGTAAGTAAACAATAGAAATACTTTGATTTATTTATTCAAATTGAATTTGACCTAATTAATATATTAAGCGTGTCATAAAAATTATATTATTAGATGTTAAACTTAATTCCTATCGTTTTTTCGTTTCGAAAATCGATTTGTTTCGAAGGAAGATGAATGAATACCTTAATCAAAGTAATTTCCTCCATTTTCTACTACTTTTTCCCATCTCTCCGGCAACAGGGCAATCCCACGACGGTAGAACGCGGTTTCTTTCGAGGCGATCCATTCATCCACCAATTTTTGGACT